TAGGTTCAAAACTATATTTTGCTATATAATTTTCCAAAACTATCCTCCCAGAATGTTGTTTAATCCATCTCAGAGTACCAATATACTGACTGCCTTCCTGGAGGTTAAGCTCAAATTTCACTTTCTCAAAAAATCTCTTAAACTTCCTAATCAAAAATGAATTCTATTCAGCAGCAATTATGGATTTTGCCTTAAATTATAATTTATGTTATCCAAGTTTTATCTCCGCTAGTCCAAATCATTTCGAGGTAAGATCCTGTCTTTCTGTCTTCCAAACCACTGAGCATTGCCTTAAACATTATAAGTTCTCCCTGAAGACCTGAGGAATGAGCTAAGTTCAGTCCCCACAAATCAGTTCACCCATCTGTACAAGCAGGGTCTGAGACACCTCTCTTTTCAACTTTGACCCTGACATCACACTACTGGAAAAAAAATGCTGGTCATGGGTCAACATAATCCTCAGAACCCCGATCCCATCATACAGTTCCCTAAACTTCCACCCATTCTGGACCGCCCAGTATTAAAGGAACCACTCCAGTGTCCCAAACTGGCATCATATGTGAAGGGGACCAAGAGACAGAGGGAGAGTGGAAAGACAGGAAGAAAACAGGGATCAGGAAGAATTCAGAATGTCAGAAAGCACGAAAAGTTCAGCTGTTACGTCAGCCACTGGCACCTGGGAAGAATACATGAACCTTGAAGGCAGCAGGGATCAGTGGCTTTCTAAGAACTACCACGGATGACAGAGAGCCTTGTCCAGCCCAGAAGAGAATGAAACCCATTAAGGAGGGAGCGCGGAACATCTCCGTATGCAAGCTGAGACAAGTAGACTGGAATGTGGGAGATCAGAAAGCCGGAAAACCACATGATACAAGCAATACAAAGCACCTCAGAGAGTGGAGCAACAACAGGCAACTCCTTCCTTCCTATAAATGCAAGTTAAAGTCACCCGCTGCTCCCATGTCAACAATATGCCTATTTCTCATCTCTCTTTGTCTTTCCTGCCTTTCTTCCTCCTTTCTCTCCACCTCTCTATTTTACATAATGCCCTGCCATACTTCCATGTGACCCCTTCCAACCTACGGCCTTGGACTTCTTCCCCTTTAGATGGTTCTTTGTTAACCATCATTTTCTCACATACAGTAGTGATCTTTCCAATGACTGCAAATGTTCTTTTGATTCATTGTCTCATGAATTCAATTTTCACCTGACCGCAGGCTACTTTACAATTCAGAGCACCTGAAACAGGCTTACTTCCTCTCTTACTACCCAAGTCAGTCTCCCAACTTCCCATCTTTTTAAATGAAACCATCATTTTTCAGTCCTTGGACCATAAATGTTCAGAATCATTCTTGAAGCTTCCCTCTCTGTGGTATCAGAATGAAGATCCCATCCTTAATTTAGACAATTATCTTTGAACTGCTTAAAAATTACAATCACATCTTTTTCCACCATTTTATTAGAAATTCAGTAATTTGAAAGAAAGTTTCTAAAACAGTTTTGAGACAAATAGGAAAGAAAACACACGTACTGTATATGAAAATCAACATAATTATGAACTTCATAATTACGAGACTTATGAACTTATTTTGTCTCCTTCCTGCTCATGCTTTGGAAACAGGCTTTTCTTTATACTTCTACATTTGGGTTTATACCTATAAATCACACAGAGTTCAGTTCTGTGTGTCTGTAAAGGAAAAAAATCATAAAGGAAAAAAATCATAAAGGAAAGAAATCAGGTTGGTAGGTAGGTAGGTAGAACTACATCATACTCCAACCAGTCTCTGTCCCCTACACAAGTTTTATCCTAATGTTGTGCCATCAACATTCCTCCTCTATTTTCTCTGCCTTCACAGCCTCTCTATTTAAAAAAAAAAAATGTGATTCTGCAAATACCAGCACAAAATTTCCTACCTTGAGCTGCCCTGCTACACCACTGATGGAGTCAGCTTTCTTTCATGTCACTTCTAGCACCTCAGAAACATCAACAGAGCTGATCTTGGTGTTCTGATTCAGCAATCATGGACAAGTTAGCTAAAAATCATGACCTCAATGCCTCCACTTGTGTAATAAAAAGCATTCCCTCTACCTGATGTGTTATAAATACTAAATGAGATGACCACTGGTGACTTTATACTAAGCACTCAGTAAAACTTTGGTGGTAGAATATTTTGAGTGGGTCACCATTTGGGGCGGAGTGATATCTATAAATATAACTGCTTTTGCTTTAACTGACAAGGATATGGGGAGAGGGCAATTTTTCTCTGGACCTTAATTCTACCTTAGACTCTACCTTAGGAGGGCTTCTTTTAAAATGTTATTTCCTAGTCTCTTGAGAAAATTTTTCCATAAATTAGTTAAAGGAATTGCCTCTTTTATTACCATTAAACTGTCTAAATTCATTGCTAATTGAGAAATGTCTATTCCGAAGCCAACATATGTCTTTAAAGAATGTTGTATTAATAGTACCATTTATTCAGCATAAGATACTCAATTTGCTCAACTCTGGGTTAAAAATTTGAGGGAATGAAAAAGGACTTGATATGCATTGACTAATGTCTCCTCCTTTGAGATACCAGGGGGCTCACGTTTGCAGGTTTTCACTTTGCATCTAACTACAAGTTTATTCAAGGGGACCTAAAGGAAGCTTGAGGTCTCAGAAAGGCCACTGGAGCTCAGTATACCTAAGGGATCTCACCTACAGAATCAAAGTAAGAGCCTCATTCGGGTGTGCAGTGGTTAAATGACAAATAAGCATCTTCACACATAATACATTTTCAGTAATAGCAGAAACCAGTATATTTAGTGAAAATGTGGCTGAATTCCTTCATCCATTTGAAGTTTTTGTTTGTTTGTTTGTTTTTGTTTTTGTTTTTCTTCCAGTACCAGGAATCAAACTCACGACCTTGCACTTGCCAAGCAGGCCCTGTGCCGCTGAACTAAATCCCCAGCCCCTTCATTTGAAGTTTCTGTAATCCATTGTACCATTAGGATTTCTAGATTTCAAGTTTGACTTTTTTATGGTTAAATAGATAATCAACTCCCCTTCAATATTACACAAAAATGTGATATTTACAGGTCCTGCTTGGTCATTAATAAGGCACAAAAGGGAAATCTTTGATGTACTTAAATGTAAATTTTGAAATACAACATAATGTTTAAACTCACTATCTTCTTTAGATTAAAAAAGGAAGCCGTTCAAATCTCAGAATAGGTCAGAACATCCTCACTGGCCCATTATCCCCACTGTGTTCCTTAAGAATATAAATGATCAAAAGCAACAGCAATGAAACATGATAAAGGATACTATCATGAAGAATTCAAAACAGATCAAGAGCTAGACACCCCTGACTATCTGACCATTGATTTTGAAAAAGTGCCAGGAGTTGGAGAACTCTCTTCTCCTAACCCCCCCCAAAAAAAAAAAAAAAAGAAGAGCTATAAATCTGAATGACAAAAATATGAAAATATTCACAAAACTCTTCACATATGATGCTAAAAACCCTACCTTAGTGGAGCTACAATCAGTACAATTTAGCTCCATTTTCTACCTTAAACTTTTGGAAAAGGTCAAGCTACCAACCTGTTTGCATTTGATTGCCCTTTGATAGAAATCAGAACAGCTGACCCATGACTGATATTTCAAAGGCTCTTACCACACAGGCAGAAGGAAGAAGCCTTCTTGACCACACCCTGAAGTATCAAGCCACATGTAGAATGGCTTGCTCAAATTGGACTACACACTAAAAACTTGCAAACAGCACTTAACAGGTACCTGCATACAACAAATGCGTTCTTCAGTGCCAAGATATACACTTTAGTAGATGTTTAATTAGAGATGTTTTGCTAATTAATGCTATAAGCTTTAGCCACATGCACAAAACTGTCTTGAGCTCAACTACATCTAAAGACAAGAGTAAGCTACACATGGAGAAGTTTGTCTTACCTTCTGATCATTTGCTATTCCTCAAGTAATGCTGTAATTTATATTTAGAATTATTTTTAAATAAAAAAGCACTTTATCATATGTCACATAATATTCTTTTCTATGCATCCTTGGAGTATAATCTGAATACTAGACAAAAAATACAGAGTTCAAATATATTCCCTTCTTTAGACTGTCACTGATATCTTAAAATGTCATCATTAGTCATAATGTATGAGAGGCACACAAAATAATAATAATAGTGATTCTGTCATCATACCATCTATTCTCTAATGACTTACTAAGTCATTTAAATGCATTACCCATGAACTATTCAACAAAGAAACTGACACTATTAAGTTCATGTATTATTCAGGAACCTGAGACTCAGAAGGATTCAGCCACTAACACAAGATTATATAGAAAGTAATAGCTCTAAAACCCAACTTTTTTCAAAACACCATGCCCACCCATTGTGGTCATTGTTAGAATGACCAAACCACAGTCACTGGCAGATACAGCAGAAACACTTCAAGAACTCATTAGACTCTTTCTGATGGGACAATGAGCAGTTTCCAAAGAGTCCTCTCTCTCCAAATGTGGATGGAGTGAAAGATGGAGCCATTTCCTGAAGCCTCCTTGGAACTCACTAATAATCAAATTAAGTCATGCAGAAAGAACCTGGAACTTCCTTGGGTTCTGGCTGGTACTGAGTGCCTAGCAAAAGGGAATAGTACCCATTGCTGGGCTAAAGCATGAGAGGGGAGGGAGCCAGCTCTTGAATCCACACAGTGCCAACATCAGTTTAACCTAGACTCATGTCATCATGAAGACAATGTAAGGCATGTGCTTCTCCTCCAAGCCTTCAAATTTGTGAGCTACCTCCACTCAGAAATGACAGCACATTCAGAAAGATGAAATGGAGTCACACTGATACTCCTCTGAAGCAATAACCATAAAATCTAGAAGTGGAATTGGGAAAAGTTACCGTAATAGGATAAAGCATTTTTGTCACTTGGGCTTTATAGAATTAAATATTGTAGGTAGATAAAAAGAAAATAAAACTTCTCCTTACCTGTCTGAACCACCTGTACCGTCTTTTCCCAGGGTCCAGAAGGAAAAGTATGGATCAAGCAGGAATAGGAGCCCACATCAGTGTCGGAGGCATTATGAAAGGAAAGGGTCACGTCCTTGCGAGCCTTTGTTGAATTTAAAAAGTGAACCTTATTTTCATAGGGTTTCCTTATTGCCACCCCATGGTCGGGGTTGAATATGGCCATGGACTGTTTCTGCTCGCCCACGGTCTTGAACCACTCTGCCTGCGTTACTTCGTCCATGAGGGGATACACACACTCTAGAGTCATACTCTCAGCCAGCCTGACAGTTGTGTCCCAAAATGTCTCTTCACATAGAGCTGAAACACACAACAGCACACAGATTCAGTTAGACTTGATGATGGAAACAGCAAATAAATATCTTAACCTAACAGTAGTGCACTGATGTCATAGCGAAGGCTCACAGTTTTCCACTGCTGATCGTTGGCATTTGAGTAACTTTTAGTTTTCTGAACAAGTGAGAAATTATCTCAAAAATTTTCTGCATATTGCAACAAGATTGAAAAGCAGAGTTAACTTTTCAAACAAAGGCATAAAAGATTACCTTTGTATGCTTGAAGAATAACCAAAAGGAAAGCAAGACAATCCATCTGTGGAAAACTTTTGGGAGCTGCTCTATTAAAAAAAATAACTTGCATAATATTACATGTGCACAGGCTTGGCACAATGCACCATTTCCTTCCTCCTCGATGCTATCGGCTGCGTCTTCTTTCTCTGAAGTGTGAACACAGGAAAAAGATCTTAGCTGCAAAGGTAGGTTTGCTCTCACACAGATGTGCAGGTTTGCATTACTTCTCTCTCAAGGAAAGAGCTTGTTTTCAAGGTTTCATTTTCTACAGAGGTTCATTCATTCAACAAGCATCTGCTGACTGTCTTCTCCAGGAGAAACTCTGCCCTAAGTAAGGAGGACATGACAATACATTAAAAAAATAAAATAAAATAAAACAAAACCAACCTCTTCCATCATAGAACTTACGTTCTAGTAGGAGGAGAGAGAAACTAAAATAAGACATACATATATCAATATTTATTTTATATAGGCATGTATGACTCTATATGTATAAATACCTACAGCAAGTTAAAAGTGCAAATTTGTAAGGAAATGTAAAGCAGGAAGGCAAGCATAGTGAAAGGGGACATTGTATCTGTTTTAGAGAGGATGCTCCATGGAATCCCTACTGAGAAGGCGCAATTGGAGCAGAGATTGTAGGTCAGCGGCAGGAACTTTGTGGCTTTGGTGATGGCATCTCTGCCCCAAACTGTTGGTGCCTGGAGCTGGCCTGTAACTACCTCCGTACTGAGAGATTTACATCGGTGATGATGAACAGGTAATGGAAGGGCCTCCAAATACGAAGAACAGTAGCCGGGAGCAACATCATAGACTGCCATGTTTGGGTTTTTTTTCAACTTTTTATTTTACAATAAATATAGAGTCAAAAGCAGTTACAAAGTACCTGAGACCCTGTGAAGGCTTATTCACCCATGAAAGGAACAAAGAGCAACTGAGTAGCACAACTGAATGTAAATGATCAGACTTGTTTTATATTTTTGAAAGGTAGCTTTGGTCACTGTGCAGAATGGACTGAATGGGTGTCTTAGTTACTTTTCTCTCGTTGCTGAGACAAAATATCCAATGCCCAAAATTAAGGAAGGAAAGGTTTATTTAGCTTACAGTTTGTGGAGGTTTCAGTCCACACTTGGCTGGTTCTGAGGCAGAGTGGCACATGGCAGAGGGCAAACATTCATGGCAACAGAACACAACAAAACAACAAAAGCAAAAGGGAGGAATGGCAGCAAACAGCCTCTTTCCCTGCCTTACATTGTAAACAGGCTACCCCCCACCTAAGGAGTGTGTAGCTCTCACATAATCTCCATGCCTTCCTCTTCCACAGGCTCAGGATGTATACAAAGTAAGCACCCTGGCTTCCTGCTGAGTCACTTAGCCAAACCTCTAGACCTCCCAAGTTGACACAATGTATCAACCATAACAATCCACCCCTTGTCAATTTGGCAACCAGGCACATTTCTTTAAAGCAGTTTCCAGACATGCTATTACATTAGAACCATAACATTTTGCCCGCCAAAGACTCATGCACATCCTTTCATGCAAAAGGCATTTAGTCCATCTGCAAGAGTTGCCAAAGTCCTAACAGTTGCAGCATTGCTGAAGAGTCCAAGTCCCATGTCTTCTCCCAAACGTAAGGCAAACTCTTAGCTGTGAGCCCCTGTACAAATGAAAAGTTAAACAGTTCCCACATTCAATGGCACAAAATAAACATTACCATTCCAAAAGGTACAAACGGGGACACAGAGCATTGGGACCAAAGCAAGTCCAAAATCCAGCAGGGCTAACGTTATGTCCTATAATTCCACATGCAGCATCTGAAGAAACTCGTGGCACATTGTGAGCTCCAAAGGGCTTGCATGAGTCCACCCCTATGGCATTTCTGGTTGTTACACCTCTCACAGCTTCTCTCTTAGGCCCATTTTGCTCTTGAGCCTGCTTTGTTCCCTCCTTGTAGCTTTCCTCAGATGATCCACAGTCCTGATTTTTCTAAACTTTTCAGGTCTCCAGTGCACCTTTTTCTTCATACTCACAGCCTCACACACTGCCCTCCCAGGGGCACACTGCCTGGCCTCCCAGGCCTTCTGAAATCTGGGTAGAAACCTCTTGAACCTCAGAACTCTTGCATTCGCCATGCACCTAAAGCCAGGGCCACTTGGATAATGCCAATGTCTGCTGCCACCTGGAGCAGTAGCCAAGCTTTCCTCTCTCTTGACCATAGGGGTCGAGTGCCTGGATCGCTGGGCACTCTGAATCCAATTCTGAGGAACAAATTCTCTATGCAGCTGCTGCCACCATTCTGGAACATGGCACTCTGTGGCTTCCTTCTCAAGGCAAGGTCTTTCACCTTTGCAGTTTTGAGGCTGCAAAGGGTGGGGATTTGCTGCTTGTGAAGCCCTCAGGCCGTCTTTTCTATTCCCTTGTTCTTTCTCAGCAATGGAGATCTCCTCAGCCCTATCTTTGCAGTCCACAGCTTTACTGGAGCTCCCTCTCTGGCCAAACTCACAACATTATAAATCATCCTGCTGTGTTCTTTGCTCTTGGTTCTCAACATAAATCTTGCTAAAAGCCCCCAACAACAGCCATGCCACTGCCCCAACCTTCCACTGTCTGGAAATTTCTTGCGCCAGATTAATCAGTCTGCCTCCACTCTTAATCTCAGTATCAGGCAAAGATTCTGGACAGGAGCAAAATGCAGACAAACTTTCTGCCAAGTCATAACACACATCGTCTGGAATCCAGCATCCAATGCAGTCCTTCTTCCCATCAGAAACTTCCCAAACCCAGTCTTTACTGGCAGAATTTCTATCAGCATCCTGGTCTTCTGAGCTTTGACCAGAATCTCCCATATAGAACAGCCAAAGGCATTTGAGCTCCCCTCTTTCAGGTGACATCTCCGAACCTTTCCAAACTCTTCCCACAAGCCATTTCCAAAGGCTCTTGAACCACCTGGTCTGGTACAGTAACAGCAATGACTCCACTCCACTGGTACCAAATTCTGTCTTAGTTACTTTTTTCTCATGTGAAAGGAACAAAGAGCAACTGAATAGCACAACTGGAGGCAAATGATTAGACTTGTTTTATATTTTTGAAAGGTAACTTTGATCACTGTGCAGAATGGGTTGAATGGGAGAGATTCAAGAATATATATCTGAATTGAAAAAGTTGATCTCACTAATTAAGTCATAATTAACAAGATTTCTGCTTGACAGTAGGAAAATACTATAAAACCTGAGTTGGAACAAGTAATAAGAATTCCTGAATCCTCAAGAGAGTGTCCTCCTTAACGGCCTCCTTTGCACCTTTTATGCTCTGCCTCATACTTGTGTCCCATCTCACACACACATGTTAACCCTCAATTCATGCGTGTGCTCACCTCCATACATATGCATGTGGTTACACATTCTCTGACACACTACACAAACAGACACACTCACGTATGTTCATACTCACATGCATTCACACATGCTCACACTCCATACATGCCAGCTTTCCCATACGTTCACACGTACATGCCCAATGCATCCCTCACAAATACACACATGCTCACACCATTTGTACGCACACACTTTCACACACACACACATATTTTCACACACACACACACACACACATAGCACCTACGGTAATGATGTAACAGAGAGAGTAGGGCCAATAAACACCAAAACATTATTCAAAGTTTTACAGAAAAGTTTTCTAATTTGGTGTGGTTCCTAACCTGGTATAGGAAGAAAGACAAACATACAGATAAACATATGGTTGCAATATTTATTTTATTTTAAGGAGCAAAATGAGGATGTGTTGGAATCACAAAGGGTAACGTGGGCTGACAGACAAGCAGAAACCTACTTTAGGCAGGGTGGTCAGGAAAGGCTGTCCCGGGAAAGCCCCTGTGTGCTGAAGCCTGCAGCATGAGGAAGCTGTAGCCAGGTTGAGGAGGAACAGCATGGGTACAGAGGAAATGGCTTGTGGGAAGAGTTTGGAAAGGTTCGGAGATGTCACCTGAAAGAGCTGAGCTCAAATGCCTTTGGCTGTTCTATATGGGAGATTCTGGTCAAAGCTCAGAAGACCAGCAGGTGCAGAGGCACCACGCCAGAGACACAGGAAGGTTTACAGAGTTCAAGCTGGAACAGTGGACAAGTCGTAAGAACAGAACAACAGGAGATTAAACAGTGTAGGTGGATGGGGTGAGATCGCGTTTGCCCTTATAGACGTCCTACTGTGATTCTATGAGTGATAAAAGTACCAGAATCATTTAAATTATTAGGAAAATATAAGCAATAAAAGTACTAGATCTGACTTAAATTACTAGGAAGATAATTGAACATCACCCATTTCCCCATCATACTTGATTTGCTTGGATATCCATTCCTCCCACACCACAGGATACTAAGAATCAAAGCTGCTATGACTGACTTGAGAACTGGAGAAAGCAAACATGGCCTGCATTGGCCCAATCAAAGACAAGGGAATTATTTACATCACACTCAAAAACCTCACAAATCTTATTTGCCCCCTTTCATGCACACAAGAAACAATGTTGGCCCAGTTTCTGTAGTCATCTGTCCCAAAGGAAATGGCCTGAGGGTGACAGAGAGACAGGGTTAGCCTTGGATCTCAGACGACAACACTGCACTGCTGAATCCATCAGCTCTGGAGTTTGAGCACATCATGTGATATAGCAGATTTCCATATTTTATAAACCAGTCATATATCTCCTATAATTTGCATCTGTATATATCTGAATTGGTACAATGATTCTGACTGCTTCATGAAGATAAGATTTGTGAGGTTTTTGAGTTTGGTGTAAATAATTCCCTTCATTTTGCCAGAAGCATCTAGATGTATAACAATAATAAGTATACTTTTAATTCCATGAGTCCTAGGCAGGGTCTAATCAGACAAACATACTTAATGATTGAATACAGGACACTTCATAAGAGAAACCACTAGAAATGGTAATAGGTAAGAGAACAAAACAAGGGTAGCAAACAACTCAAAGAGGTACAGAGGAAGAATCAATTTCTGGTTTCAGGGTTAGAGGGTCCAGGAAGAGCCAGGACTGCCCAGTATGGTTAAAGGTGGGTGCTTAGAGGACCCTTCCAGAGATACTGGAAAAGTCAAGGAATGAATCTGTCAGGGAAAAAAAGGCAAATGGTAGAAAAGGAAACAGATGCTTAGAGAACTTACATGAAATATGTTAAAGAAAAACCCACAACTAACATGATACTCAGTGAGGAAAGTCACTGGGATGAGGATCAAGACAAGGACATCTTCTTTCACCGATATTATTCATATTTTGAAGGTTTAAGCCAGAGCCATTAGGCAAGAAAGACATTAAAACCATACAAACCTGCAAAGGGAAAAGGAAAACTATTCCTTTTCACTGGTGACATGATTTTGTATATAAATACTCTTTTAATATATACCCAAAACCAACAAACAAATTCAACAAAGTCACAGGATGGAAAATCAACACATGAAAATCTGTGGTATTTCTGTGCACTCACTAACAATACACATGAGAAATAAGATTCCTTTTATCATACCACTGAAAAGAATAAAACACCTGGGAATAAACTGAACAAAAGACTCAGAAAACTTCACACTGACAGTGACAAAATATTGTTAAAAGAAATTCAAGAGGATCTAAATATGGACAATATATATATATTTCCAATATGTCTTAGACATTCTGTTTGTGAACTAGAAAATTTAATACTGTTAAGATGCCAATGTTTCTCAAACCTATAAATTTTGGCAATATCTATCAATATTTCAATGCCCATTTTATTTAGAAATAGAAAAGCTGATCTTCAAATTCATGTACCATTGCAAGGGGTCATTAATAGCCAAAATAATCATTAAAATTAAAAGTTGGAGAAGTCATCTTTCCCAATTTTGAAATACAATACAATTCTAGTAATTACAACAGTGTAGTACTGGCAAAGAACAGACATACAGATTAATGGAATAGAAATGACAATGAAAAAATAAATCTGTACATCTATAGCCAATTGATCTTCGACAGGAGTGCCAAGACAATTCAATGGGGAAAACTTTCTTGTCTACAAATGTGCTGGGCCAGCTGGATAGCCACATGCAAAAGAATGAAGTTGCATTCCTAGTGCTCATCATACAGAAAAATTATCTCTAGATAGATTGCCTAAACATAAGAGCAAAATCTACAAAACTTTTAGAAGAAAATGTAGAGTAAATCTTCCTGACTTGGGAATTGGTTATGGATTCTTAGATATGACACCAAAAGTATGTGCAAGAAAAGAAAAATGAATTGGATTTCATCAAAATTAAAAACACTTGTGCATCAAAGGACACTTTCAAGGTAGTGAACTGACAACCTACACAATGGGAAAAATACTTGCAGATCAAATATCTGATTAGTGCCTACTATTCAGAATAAAAGAACTTTTCAATAACAAAAACAAGTAACCCAATTGAAAAATGAGTAAAGTACTTGGGTAGACATTTCTACAAAGCAGATATACAAATGGACAGCGACCACATGAAATGATATGAAAATCATTAATTATTAGGAAAATACAAGCCACAATGAAAAATCACTTTTTACCCAGTAGGATGGCTATAATTGAAAACAGAGAAAAATATTCATGTTGTGGAGAAATTGGAGCCTTTACACACTGCTACAAGAAATGTAAAATGGTTCATCTGTTGTAGAAAACAGTTTGCCAATTCCTCAAAAAATTCAATGGGATTATCATGTGACCTAGCAATTCCCCTCTTACTTATCTGTCCTAAGGAACTGAAAATAAATGCTAAAAAAAAAAAAAAAGCAAGAAACCTTCTATACAGGTGCTGCTACCTTCCGAGCAGCATGGTTCACATGAACCAGAAAGTGGAAACAACTCAAATGTCAGTCAATAGGGGAATGGATAAACAAATTGTAGTCTATCCAGACAAGGGAATATTCAGCCATAAAAGGGAATGAAATTATATTCATATTACAATATGAATGAAACTTGAAAAGACTGTGAAAGTGAAATAAAGCAGACACCAGAGGTCACATTGGTAGCATCTCTTTCGTAGGAAATATCCAGAAGAGGTCAAACCACAGGGATAGCAGGAAGATTGGTGTTTCCAAGACCAGGGGAGAAGGGAATGCGAGTGACTTTCTAAGGGATGAGGTTTTCTTGGGGACGATGAAACCGTTTTGGACTTCATAAAGGTGGTAGCTGCAGAATGTTGTAGATGTACTAAATGCCACTAAATCACACTCTCAGAAATGTTAATTTCATGTAACATAAATGTCACCTTTAAAAATTACTGCTAGTGAATAGCAAGAGGGCAAAGGCACCCCACATCCTTCCAAATGCAGAAGGCACCACATTTCACGGTTGCCCAGTTACACATTGACATCAATTGATATCCCAATCACCCTGGTCCGCAGATACACACTGAGGCCCACAGTACATTTAAGAAGTGAGCCCATGGGCTGGGGATTTAGCTCAGCGGCACAGCGCCTGCCTGGCAAACGCAAGGTCGTGAGTTTGATTCCTGGTACTGGAAAACAACAACAAGAAAAAAAGAACTGAGACCAGTGGATCACTTTATGCAACACTTTTCTAATAACAGCTGGAAAGAAATAATGCAAATAGACTAGGTTGCCAGAGAGAAGATTTAAGACATAAAAATCATTCGATGCTTATAAAATGCACTTATAAGTGTGTGTGTGTTTGTGTGTGTGGCTGGCTGGCTGTATATGTGTGCATATGTTTGAGTGTATGGTTAGGAAAAGAAAGATGTCAAGGTTGGATAAAATACAGCAGAGGTATAAGGGCAGAGCAGAAATCTATGACCTTACCCAAAATATAAATAAAGAGCAAAATAAAAGATAAACCATAGGAAATCGGGGCATAAATGTTTCTCAAATAGGAAGGGGATTTTAAGAAAGGAATTAAAATGTGTTATCTGTGTGACCAACTCTCCACAAGGAAGGTAAACATTATGTACTGCAAACATGTACTAAGAAAAAGATTTAAAACTTGAAGAGGAAAAAAAGGAAAGAAATTAGATGTAACAGAATATCCTCTATTCTCAGAAACCCTTACAAACAGGTCCTAAGGAACTTCCTCTCCCTAGGAGAAAGCTGTCTGGTGTGTGGGAGGAGTTTCCAGACAGGAATACTAATTAACAATAATTTGCCAGTCCCTAACACCCAAAGCATCCAAAACCAACTCGGTCAAGAGATGAGAATTTAAGTCCACTTGGACTGTGAAACCGAGGGCCCTAGATTCACAGGAAAGGCACGGAACTACTTGTGGCTGAAGATAAAGTTCATCTGTTACAAGTTTGCTAAAGGATGAGCACTATTTATCAACATCTAACCAAAGCAAATAGAGAATGCACTTGAGCTATTTTTGTTGTATCACAGCCATTTTTTTGCATGATTTATGAAGGGGTTTTGGCTTGAGGTTTTTTTCTAATAGAGCTGTCTGTTTAAAAGAACTTTATCCTCAAGGGAGCTATTAATCAAAATATTACTGGATTTCTCTACTATTTAAAAAGTCTCAACTCACCATATGAGTTTGAATTCATCTCCTGAATTTGTCTCTGCATTCAGACACCTGGTGACCTACCCGACAATTCTCAGACATGCTGTTTTCTATGCGCACACGAAGAAACTCGTCTATCTTTTCAGTTTCATTGCTTCTGCTATGTAAAATCTGTACTACTTTCTATACTCAGGAGGATTCTAGTGTCTACTGAATTACCCCACCCCACAGCAAAACACTTGATGTGGGTGACAGAAATCTGCTCCTCCGGCTGAGACAGCTTTTGACCTGTGCTACTCTGAGACACAGCACAGGGCTGGGAAGACTACAGGGGTGAGGTCCTTTGCTTCTCTTCTTTGTCCTAGACGCAGGAGGCTGACTGTGCGCTTCCACTGAGATGCCCCACCTGGTAAGAGGCTCAAGCTTCCAGTGAGATTTTATCCAGAACACCACAGCCTAGGTGTCTGTTCCCCATCCCAACAAATCAGCAAAGGAGAATCTTTCTGAGAAGGCACACTGAGTGTCCCTTAAACCAAGGCACGTTGGCCAAGAACTTCGGCCAATCACAGATCTACCCCCACTTTCTCTCAGTGACCCACGAAACCCACTTACATCCAAATCAGGGTCTGTAGATTGCGTTCAGCAAGGTCTTTCTAGGACAGAGTCCTAGAAAATATGCCCCACAGGCCAAATCGAGCCCATTATCTGATTCTGTAACTTTAACTTGAGCAAAGCTGTTCTCACTGGTTTATTGTTGTCTGAATTTGCTTTCGCACTATGGTGGTGCAGCCGAGTGCTGCTGAGTTATGGCAGACACCATTTGTCTTGCAAAGCTGTAAATATTAGCTGTGTAGCCCTATACAGAAAATATTTGCCAACACTTACACGGTATAAAGCTTTTCATAGTCGACACTTGTTAAAGTTTATTCTTACTAAGCTTTTCTTGAAAGAAAGAAAACTAAACCCAAGAGTGCAGACACTGGTAAAATCAGCTAAACTTTTCTATTCACAGGAACTATGTATCAGATTTACAGTAAGTATAATTCTTCTAGGAACAGCCTGAGAAAGAAGCTTAAGTGGCACGCTTTGTTAAAGACTACATCCCTCATTAACTGCATAGGGTTGTAGAGCATCAACCATTCAACTACTTTCAGATTTTCCCTATAGCTCTTTTTCTGCTGTATCTGTTATCATATAGGTTTACTGGCAGACCCCACCTTTTCTCATACTAGTAATTTATACCGCGAAATTGGCCACATCCAGTCTTTATTCTGTAAAGTTTACTAACCTTGAGATGTGAGGTGCTGCTTGCTCCAACTCTTCCTTCAGCTCTGCGTGTTGGTTAGGGGCTTTTTGCTAATGCGGCCTCTTTACAAACCTCACCCAGGTCACTAGCCAACTCTCTTCTGTTCCAGTCCATTACTGGAGGGCTTTCCTCCCTCTGGGAACTTCCTCTTACCCTGTTCTGGAGCTCTTCTCTGCCCCAGAGCGTCTGCAGGTAGTGCCTGGAGTACAGCACTAATAGCAAATGAGGCAAAGTTTTTTGAAGTCAAGTAATCTCCCTGCTTCTGGAAGATCTTAACATTTTGACTGCTCAGCCTGATTCCAAACTCAGAAATACATGGTTCTCTCCCACTGTTTCCTCCTTAGAGGCTACACACTGGAAGGATTCACTTCTCATATTCTGTTCTAATTCTAAACTGAAACTACATGTGTTTTCATTCCCATATATTATCTGCCAATCAAAGCACTTTGCATTCAGTAGTCTCTTAAACTCAGGAAGCTTTCTTATCTCTACCCATGTCTACTCATGTTTTAGTCTTACCTTCTAGGTTCTCTCTCTGTCTGTCTCTCTGTCTCTCTCCCTCTCTCACAACTTCTGTTCTCTGAAAGACAAAGTTCACAAGCTGCTATTTCTGAAGAACAATCTCCCTTAGCAATGTCATAGTTTCTTAGCTGTACCAGTGGACAACAAAGTTGCTTTTATTTATTCATTTGAACACTAGCTCAGGGAAGTTCCCCAATGGTTAAACCACGATGAAGGATTGTGAGTAAAACTTGAGTTCATGCAATTCATAGAATCCTAGGGAAGAAGAACTGCATTTGACAGATGCGAAAGGGGTTGCTGGGGTGAAACTGCTCTGCGCATGACATTGTGCCTCCATGGGAAGGGCTGGTCTCTGCTGCTGCTAGACCATCTGTACGTCTGTGAAAGCATGTCACGAAGAAAGTAAGGCAGTGCTGTCCTACAGTAGCAAATTTTCACTAAGGACTTAGTGTAAGGCTTCAGTGGGACCTGACTTCCCAGCCCCCAGCCTACTTGCCAGCAGAAGCGCTACTCTTCAGGAAATTCAGCTCAGCACTTGAGGCTGTCATCCATAAACACATGATGCTGTGGAGGAGATAAGATAGGACAAGGAATTTTAAAGGTCCTGCGGATACCTGGAGATACCCAAGAATTTGTACCAGCTACTTCACTTCACTTCCCCACTGAATATGAGGCTGCCAGAAAACTTAAACCACAGATGTTTATTAAATCTTTCTGCCTGCCTTCTTTCCATGCATTTAAAGGGGACACACTTCTCTTTGTTCAGACAGAGAGCTTTGTTGCCTGCACCCAGGCATTAGATCATGTGCTCAGTTGCTTCACAACAGCCTGTCATATTGTCTCTTGTCTCTAGCTCATTAGACTCAGCATGGCCCAGAGGTAGACTTTTACAGCACAGTCCTGACTTGTGTCATTCCTTTCAGTGACTCACTGTCACTAAGAGAAAACTCAAGCTTCTTTTCAGCTGATGGGGCCATCACAATTGATGCCTGCCATTTTCTCCTGTCCCATGTCTCATTTTCCTGTGCCCAGCGCACAGTTTAGAGTATCTAATATTTTCTACTTAAAGGCCATGCTTTGGTAGGATATGGTCATGTTCCACAAAGGTTCTCTTGCTTTGAATTCATTTTCCCTCTCCCCACCAGCACATCTCAGCTCAGATATTCATGCTAGAATATTCTCCTTGGGTCTCCAAGACTGGGTTAGGTATTCCTCCTGTGAGGACCTTGTAACCCCAAATTTATCTATATACTTAGCACATGCTATTTGACTATCCAGTGCATTTCTCATTCTAGCCTAATAAAGTCTTTCCAGGCACAAGTATAGTTTTGTGCACTGTCATGTCCTCAGAGCCTTTCACAGTGCCTGACACTTGGTGGGTGTTAGTCAATATTTGTTGAACAAGGATGCAGTAATGACTTCCACCTGTTAGGCTTTGCAGCATGCATTTTATGTACTAGTTGCAATCTTCATTCCATCTTGCTTCCAATGCCTCAGCTTTCAATTTCCTCAGTGAATAAGATCAACACACACAAAAAAATTCCTATGTCCAAATCAATATCAATTTGAGGGGGGCAAACTCAAAGGCAAACTTTCCTCACTTGGGACAAATATGATTCAGAATGATTCAACAGGTCCTGAACTGACCCTCAAATGCAGGATCAAATAGTTACAGTCTAGTCACATGACTCATTATGCATTAAATTTTAGAGGCATTTTAATAAAAGATACATGCATTATATCTATTGGGTCTAGGTATGAAAGGTCTTTTTTTACTGCTACTTGATTCACATAACCCAGATTTGTACAGGTCAGGTGCTTTACCCAAATTACTCCATCTTTTGTAATCATTTTCTAATTCTGTATCCACATGCCAGCACACACACATCCACACATGCTTCCACTTCTGTATCATCATCATCATAATCATCACCTCATGGTTGTCTCCATTCCATAATAAAGTCATTCCCATTACTAAGGGCGATGAATGGGAATAGCTGTGGTTTCTGTGTAGAGGTCCACTGATCTAGTTTTCTTAACTTCTTTGTGGAGGATCTTGAAATTTTGTTTGCAGAAATTTTGTTTTATAGAAATATTATTTCTTGAAATTTTCTTTATAGAAAAATGTAGCTATCTAGTAGAAAAAGTGTGTGTGTTTAAATAACCATTTTGTAGTGCTTATTAAAATAATAGATCAAGGTAACTCCTAAGAAAATAGAAACCATGGGGTGAAAATGATTGGAGAACTTCATAATAAAATAAAACTAACTGCCTATTAGCAGTACCTGAGCCCTCTGATAAACTATAACGTCTCTAAAAATGGTGCAGCCAGACATGAGGGAGTCCCCACGTGACACAGCAGGAAGGAAACAGGTACACTGGGAGGTGATCTTCCCATCTGGATGAGCCTGAATCCAGCCACGCCTAGAAGTAGCTAGAAGTAGATGGCTGAGTTGAAGGATATACATAGTGGCAATTAACTAAACAGAGGGAACAAGAGGAACTCCAGAGCAAATGCCCCAGGTTCTTCAACAAACAAGGGACAATTATGTGTAACATAAGAAAACTCACTTAACTTAATAAATGCTGTATTAGTTAGTGTTCCTATTGCTGGGACACAATACCCTACACCTATAATTTAAAGAAGGATATGTTTGATTCATTCAAAGTTACAGGGGATTTAGCTCATGTTCAGCTGGCTCCAGGGAGGAATATAATACTGGAAGGGCATGGTGGAGCAAAGCTGCTTAGTTCCAGGCATTCAGGAAACTCAGCTGGGAAACAGTGCGAGAAGGGAAGTGGGAAAAGGTCAGACATAGGCCCCCAATTTATGCCTCCATGACCTACCCAGACACACCCAGAAGAGTGCTAATCTCCCTTGTGGTTCCCAAGCTTATGGAGTTCACACTCCCCTCCAACCACCACAAATGCCAAAGGGGCACTTGATAGTATTCTTTCCATAAAACTCATAGCAATTTTGGAATTTCTTTAACATGATAAAGAAAACTGATCAAAAACTACAAGCAAACTAGGTGAGACACTAGAAAAATTTGTATTAAATTCCTAGAAAAGACAAGGATGACCATGATTATTACCAATATTTCACTTATTCTAGAAGTTTTAACCAATTATAACAGGTTAAAATTTTTAAAAATGAAGGCTGGAAATGTAGCTCAGTGTAGAGCTCATGCCTAGTATGTGCAAGGCTATGGGTTTAATTTTCAGCGCCACATACACACACACACACATACACACACACACACACACAAAGAAATGAGAATTACAAATCTTGAAAATTATCTAATTATCAATTTATAAGATACATAGACTCAACTGGAAAATAAGATAAATTAGGTGGCCAACAATAATTTTATGAGTCAATATCTGTTCATGTCATATTCAGAACAGTAGCAAAAATTACACATATTTGTGTATACAAAAGCCATGTGTGTACACAGAAAGGAACTTTAAAGTAGTGTAGGATACAGCAGAAGAAGCTTGTTAATTCTGTCAAAAGTAATACAAAAGGTCTGGAATAAATAGTTACATGCTATTTTTTCTAGGGTAAAACCCACTTTGGGAGCACAACAAAATTATATTTTTTAAAATCTTGTAGTCTTTTACAAGCACATCAGTGCTTCTGCTGAGGCACTTGCTGACTACACTTTCCAAAAAATGGGCCAGGCCCTGGAAAATCTGCATGTACTTACCTCAGTGCCTAGTGGGATTTCCATCTGTGAACATTCATGTAATGAAAGTGCTCTAACTAGCACAAGTGCTGTTTAAATTCATAAGAACAGCAAAGCACATTTTTACAAACAAGTAAAATGAAGTGGAGTGTCTGCAGGGGTGTGTGTGTGTGGGGGGTGTTCATCCAAAGGTAGGAAGAATGTGATAGGTTTACCTACATAAAAACTTAAAATTCTATGCGCAAAGTCATGAGTTCGGTTCCCGGTACCGGAGAAAAAGCAAAAAAAAAAAAAAAAAAAACAAACAAAAAAAAAAAAAAAAAACTTAAAATTCTAGCATGGCACGCACACTAGCAAAGCAAAAAGGCAGAGTAATTTGCAGGGGAATACATAAAAGTTATGAAACAAAGTCCTATATTTTCTAAATATAAAGTGCTTAAATGTTTGTAAAACCTACAAATACCCCATGAAAAGCTAAAAGTGGGTATTAAACATCCATTCACAAAAGAAAGACCACAAATAGAAAAATAAAAAATAAAATATTTACTCTCAGCAGATACAGTCAATCCAAATTAAAACAATGACATACTAACTTTAGATGATCAAATTTGCAAATATATAAACAAAAGTTATGACAGTGGCTCTTGTTCAGAGGAACAAGTGGAAACAGGCTGCTGGACGCTGTTGGCAGAGGTATAAACTCCCATCCAAGTACTAACCAGGCCCGACCCTGCTTAGCTTCCGAGATCAGACGAGATCGGGCGCGTTCAGGGTGGTATGGCCGTAGACCAGAAGTATAAACTGATCCAACTTTTCTGTATATTTACAGATTTAAGCAACATCCATGGAGAAATAGACTTATTATACCTTCAACCCCAGCAAAACCACATCAAGACTTTTGTCCTTAAAAAAGGATAAAGTTAGGAAATGAAATTCATCAAAGAAGTATATCTAAAAATCTAGAACATCTATTAGAGCATACTTTCATTGGTTGGAGTTAAAAACAACTGTGTTTACCTTTAGTGGGCCAGTTGAATTCAGCACGATAAATCCACCACAATAGGACACTTCGAAGCTCTGAAACAACTATGCAGATTTATATTTAAATATGTACCACTTGTGCTGTATGTTGAGTGAAGCATTTTCGGTAGCACATATCGTCTCCCCACTATAAAAGGTACGACCTCGCCCAGGAA